TCCTGGCGAATTTCATCTCTGTCATTCTTTTCCTCAAGAACAAGACAAACACACCTCGTGCAAAGGAAAGATAGAACCAGCCCAGCACTGCAGGGTTTATCTCTGGCGTGTTAAGCTCCCTTCAGGGAGACAAGAACAAACTGTGCGCGAGGCATAGAGAAGGTACGGGCAGTACATTTTAAACTCTTTCCACGGTGAATTGTTCCAGCTTCAGGAAATGGCTTAAGTTTGCCCTGTCAGAGCTTCTTCCAGCTTCTGAGGAAGCACAAATACTTGGTAACTTCTTTGGTGCACTGAGATTTTTAATTTTCCTCCAACAGCGCTTGATCGATAAGTAGTTGTACGTGGCATGCAGCATTTTGGTTTGATAAAAGGTGTAGAAAGAAAGAAGGATGGATGAACTTAATCCTAATCTTGAGGAATGTCTCCATGTTGGCTGTAATTGAAGAGCAACGCACAATCACCTGAAGATGGGGGTAATTAAAATCTATCAATTAGTTCAGTAAATAGCAAGAAAATTAACTTTGTGCAGTAGTTTGAAAGTAAGTATTGGGTGAAACCATCCATTTCTTATCCTCTCTCACTTCCTGTTTTATGGTTGTGAAGCTCTTTGGTGTTGCCCTCCAGGTTTCACCCTTAAAAAAAAAAGTTATTTCCTTCTAAAAATGCTACCTTAAAATGTTTTAAAATTTCAGTTTTTCCAAGAGTATTTCAAAGCAAATGAAATGGAAATTATTAATTGTTCTAGGACCTGTGTAAAATTTAAAATTAAATGCAGATAAATCAGATTGTAAATGTAAATGAGCAAAATATAATTTTTGTGCAAATTACTTTATTTTGGCCTCTACCTTTGCAGAGGTTGTTTCCATATATTCTCCAGCTGTGCTGTCAGAATTGCTGTAAGCAAAGGTGCAGAGATCCCTAAACAGCATAGCCTAAATTGTCCACTCAGAGAGTTGATCAGGAATTAAGGCTGTGGGAGAAAATATGACTTGGTGTGAGGTGTTTTGTTTGAGATATTGGGTTTGATAACTTTTTGCTGAATCAGAGCTGAGCTGGCAGGTTGTCTCGGTGCCTAGAGCTCCCAGCCAGGTGGGAAGAGGCTGGGGTGGGGTTCACATCCCCCGGGGCAGCCACCTGCACCCCTCACCTCTCGTTAGGGCTGAGCTTATGGCTTCCCAGGACACACCTGGAAGCTGTAAAATCTTGGGTGGAGCCAGCTCTCCCAGGGCTTTTGAGCTTCCTGTGCCACGGTGAAAGTTTTGTGCTTGGGAGATCTGTGCTGAAGGGCTGGTGCTCGCATCTGGAACCCCTGCTGCCTTCTCCCAGTTCCTGGGTGAGCAAAACAGATGTGGTCTCCCTGTGCTTCCCTGGTAAGTGATGTGTCTGAGTAATGAAGTGTATATTTTCCTTGTGGTGAAGTGTGAATGTTTTAAACCGCTAAAACTTATTTATGCATTAAAACGTTAAGTGGCTGAATTCTCTAAAACTTATCTACTCCTTAAATCTCACACCTTTCAGTGCATTGGTTCCCTAGTCTGAAAAGCAAAAGTAGGTAGAATTGGTCTTCAAGATTGGAGTAAGATATTCATGTCTATTTGCTTCTGGAATATTGAAAGTACTTGACCCTCTTGTGCTTATAAATGTAGCAGGCTTTTACCTCAGTGGGGAGTTTTTGAATTTCTGGTGTGTTCTTTCTGCATGGTTGTTATTTTCAAATGATTTGTAGTAGATCAGCTGCTCTGAGTCTTAAAACGGGATTAAAGTTGTTGGGAAGAAAAAAAAAAAGCCTTAACTTGCTTTGGCCTGGCTTGCTCTTGACATATTTGTTCTAAAACAAGATGATTAGCATAGAAAACCATGTTCCCAGAGTGTGTGAATGTGCACTTCCATTGAGAAGGGATTTGCTGGCTGGCTGCTTGTGGCAGCCAACATCCTTGTCTAGGTTTTAATTTGTTTGTTCGGATGTTTGATGTGTTTTTAGAGGTTGCAGGATTGAAAAGCTTCCCAGAGCCTTATCCAGCCTCTCAAAACACCACTCCAGAAAAATACATATTTCCTTTTGGAAAATAGATGTTCTCTCTAGGAGGTGGGTGTGTGTCTATACTTTTGGCGAGGCTGTGGAGTCTGGGTATCCAGTTGAAACTTCCGGGTATTGCTCACTTGGCCAAGCTAACAAAATTAGTTTTGACTTGCCTCAAATACGTTGATGTTCTGCACTATTGTTTCTGACAGAATTATAGCTTGAAAAGAATATATTCATGTTTGAAACCCAGATTTTTTTTCTTGCAACCAAAATGGCTGCTTGATTGTGCTGCTAATTCCATCACACCTGCATCAAAAGAGGACCCTGACAGTTAGTATTGGGGGAAGGGAAGAGAATAAGGTTTCTTTCAGTGTCTGTAAGTGAAAGGTTGCAAACTGAGCTGAGGTGAATCCATTCTGGTCCCCAGCAAAGGGCAGGTTCTGCTTTCACAGACCGTGCCTTGCTCCCGGCTTCCAGGCAGCTGTGGTGAGAACAGAGCTCAGGTCTAAGGCTCTGCATGTTCTTTCTACCCAGTAAAGTGATGGGAAGGGCTACCAGCCTCAGTGAGCTGCTGAAATAACCGCAATGGACGAATTAAATTACTTTTTTACTTATTTTCTTAATGTGTGCGTAGGAGAGTGGCAAACATTGCTAGCTCCAGAAGCATCTTCCGATAGAAACTGACTTTGTGCATGAGTCTTGAAGGGACAAAGGCCAGGATTAAAGCAATTGGGAGCAGGTGGGGTGTAAGACTCTGCAGAGAGGGATGAGCAGCTGTGTCTGGACAGACTTTCCGTTAGAGGTTATAGTGTAAAATCATAGAATGATGAAATAAATCATAGAATGATTCATACCATGATGAAATGCCTGAATGTAGTTTGGCTCACAAATGCTGTACGATATGTTTTATGCTTGCCACCCAGAGCCTCAGGATGCTGTGATTTGCGAGGCATCAGTCTCGCTAAGAACTTCAGTTTACATTTAATTTTGATGAGGTGCTCATTAGTTCAGTCCCTCATTTCCATCCTGCATGCTTTGTGGCTAATGGCTTTGATGATGGCGCTAAATCATATACTTCAAGTTCAGCATTTCTTAGCTGTTTTTCTATAACTAATCCTAAAACTTCTTTCTTAACAACTTCACACATAGATGAGAATCTGTTGTTTGACATTGTGAAAAATCAAAGTCTGTGAAAAGGTAAAAAGTCTGTTTTGTGCTGTGATCCATCCTTCTGCATCCCCCAAAGAAGGAGCATGGCACCTTCCCCATCTATCTCCAGGCCATCAGTATCTACAGTCCTGAGTCCAAACGTCTTTTTGACTCGGGGTTTGTGTGTTTCTAGAAGTGCAGGGCTGTAAGTAAAGTGAACAAGGACATTTTCTTGTCAAGCTCAAAAGGCAAGAGAAATGCCTGTAATTGAAACAGTCAGGAAAATAAGGTAATCATTACATTTTAGTAACATAGGAGTGTTGGAGGGGAGAGAGCTGCAGAAAAGTCACTCTGGAAAACTTCAATAAATGGTTTGTACAGCCCCAGCATAAAAGAGCATGTCTGCAGAGTCGTATTTGGGGGTTCAGAGCCAAGCAACCACCCATCCAGAGGAGGTAGCAGCCGGTATAATGGTAACTCTGCACGGCAGAATGCACCTGAAAGAGAGAAAGCTGCTCCGCACATTAAGAAAACTTCAAAATAACAGGGGCATTTAGTCTTAAATATTAGGCTTCTATTTTCATAGTTTATGATATGATGATTGGATTCCTTCTGTGGATACAAGCTTCTTAATAGTACTATTCATCAGTGACAAAGGTTAGATGTGAAGAAAACTAGAACTGAGGTGAAAGAATAGAATTTTTATTATTTTAGCAGCTGAATGTGTCATTACATCAGAGTCAGTATTGTGTAGCAAATTGCAAGCTGCAGTGAAATTGCTTGAAAAAATATCTGTATATATATTTTTCTAAAACTGTGATAAAGTCATTCAGCAGCACATTGAAATGTATTTCTAGCTGAACCATTATATCTTTTTTTACTGTGGTGTGAGAACAGATGGCAGTTATTCTTAACGGTCTCCAGCAACACTGAGGCGATGCCTTGCCTTCCCTTGTAACTGCTTTGAAGTGAAAGACAAGTACACATGGCCAAAATGAATCTGCATTGTAACACTGACTTGTCGTTTCTAAAGAAAACTTTTAATCAGCTTACAACAGTGGGCTGGTGATAATTGCTTAACATCATACCAGTCAAGTAGTTCATTATGACAGGAAAATTGAGCTATTAATCGGAATCAATTGCACATGTTTTGCAATAAGTTTTTGGAGCAGATGTCTTTTCATAGCCATTTTTAATACACTAATTGAGTAGTCCGTGACTTGAGGACAACTGCTGTCACTCCCATAGCACAAATGCTTTTGTGGGTTTGGAGATGTTCTTTACAGCATTCCTGGGGGACTGGGATTGATCCAAGAATAACAGTGGCTCAGTAGCTGGCATGGAGAGAGGGCTGCTGCACAAACAGTGACAACATTGTTTGGTCATTTTTATAAACTTTTATAAGCAGAATATAACTTTCAATGTTTTTCCAAAGGATTTTGCTTTAAAATTGTCACTACCTGAACAATAACTTGGCAACTTAGAGAAGGCCTGTAGAAAAGTTCTGTAAATCCAACCTGATGTAATGTTATTTTCCTGCTTCGCCAACAATGCTGTGTAGTTCAGCAAAATGCTGTGTTCTTAAGGGAAGGAATTTGTAACTGTAAATCAAAATGAAGCTGCCATGTGTTGTAAATCTAGCAATTTATGACTTTTTAGATTGCCTGCTGTGATGTGCCATGTTACAGGAGCATTGTTAGGAGCTGTATTTAATTTACTTGCTCTGAATTAATCCAGCTTATTTGGTGAAGCCTTCGTTCTTCTGTTTTATGCAAGCATGTTCAAAAAAAACAAAGCCAATCAACTGGTTTCTCTTACTTTACAGCCTTCGACAAAAGAAAGGAAATGTGGCCCAGAAGCACTGGACTGGACCAGCTAACATAGTAAAATGCAAGCCCTGCCCCATGACACATGCCAGCCCTGTCTGCGGGTCTGATGGACACACATACACGACCAAGGTAGGTTCTGCTGGTGACCTGAACTCCTTTCAGCAGTGGTCATCCAGGCTGTAGTGTGAAGGTGAAATAGCTTTCATTAATATTACAGCATTAAATTACGGTCTACTGCAGCTTTGAAATATTTTTGTGTAAAACAACAACAAAAAAGTGCTGATAAACGTGGATTTTGCAAATTTGACAAAGAGCGAGTTGGAATGACAAATCAGAATCTTAGGACTTTCATGACTTATGTTTCTCTAAATAGCTTTCTAATGAAGTAGAACACTTTGAGTATTGATGATGCAACAGGAAAAAATCATTTTATGAGCTTGATTTGTTCAGACAAGAGGATTTGGGATAGTTCTTTAAGATTTCCTTTTCAAATGGCATAGTAACTTGGTAGTATCATTGTTCGGTGACAGATTTCTTTTGTTAAATTATTTTTTTTTCTTCATTCTGCACAAGTAACATATTAAATTCATTTAAACCGCAGTTTTAATAGGCTTGTGTGCCAGATGTGTCATATATGGTACCATAAAAAAAAATTCCCATAACCCAGTGGGGGTAAATTGGCTCATTGTTATATTGAAAATATGATCACCTTAGGGCTTTACTCAGTAAAAGATACTGTCTTCATAGCCATTCAGCAGTCCAGATCTCCTGTTATCAAATAAAGTGTTCCATGTCTCAGATAAGTGTTCCATAAACAGCACTTCAGGCACTGGAAGCTGTGTTTAGGGCATAGCCCTAAGGTTTTCTTCTCTTCCTGCATGCAAAGTAAGTAAAACAGCCAGTAAAACTACCCTTTAAAACGCAAAAATAGCCCCTCCTGAAATCCAGGAAAATTAAGTGATCAAGGAGGAAAAAATTCTCTGCTGTGATGCAACAGTGATGATAATATTGCAACTGCCTTATCTTCTCAGCTGGGCAGCTTGAGTTCTTCATCCATGAATGGACACAAATACAAAAATGCTGCTGTGGCTAATTCATTCAAGCCCCTCTTCTGTTCTGGCAGAAGGATTTGCATGGCCAAGGGAGCGAATCAGCAGAAGCTCTCTCATCTTTGTACATGAACTGGAGAAAAAGAGCTCCAAGTTGCCTGTTAAAAAAGCTACACATTAATACTCTCTAGGCGTGTGTAATGCAGTAATTTAGCATTAGTCTTTAGGATTACAGTTGGGATGATTTTGAAAACAACTTTTTGTAAACTCTTGAGAATATATAAAATATTCTGTAGTAAATAGCTTTCATTGCATGTTCTGTCCTCCTATTGAACTCATTTCTGTGTGTCTGTTAGCTTTGAGTCTTTTCTTGACCTTCTATATTTCTTACCATAAGGTCCAAATAGTTTTTACCAGAAATTCTGCTAATGTCATAAATTCACCATTCTGACTACGATATAAGCCTGGTGGCTATAATGAAGACGTCAAACAATTCCTAGTCCTGATGTGCTTGACTGTCAAAGACACCTTCCAGAAATTGCCTCCAAATGTGTTTGGTTTTGATTTTGGTTTTTGGTGGTTTGTTGTTTTTTTTTTTTCTGAAAGGAAACTTTTTTTAAGACTTATTCTGAAGCAACTTTGTCTCATCTTTATTTATTGTGTGTTTAACTATCAGGGAGGGTTTTCATTGCTTTTTGAGTACTGTTCAAGAGAGGTGATTGCTTGTCAAATTGTGTATTTGTAGTTGCTTTTTCTATTTTTGGGGTTTGGGGGTTTTTTGATAGAAAGCTCCTACAGTTTCATGCTAGTTGGTAATTTTTCTGTTACATCCAGTACTAGTGAGAGGATGCATGTCTGCTTAACCTTCACACAATCTCAAGGAGGTGTTTGCAGCAATACCTTTGTTCTTCACTGTATAGAGTACATTATTGTAAGCTGTAGAGCATCATTGTGTGTCTAAAATGTCTTCTAAAAGTTCTGCTTCACTGATTTTTTTTATTTTTTTTTTCAAAAGGCAAATTTTGGTGAATGAGCTGAAAATACTCTAGGCAGAGCATTAAAACTAAGTGGTATATTGGAATGTGCTAACAGATAATGTTTTTATGGTCAGTGATGGTTGTGGGTTTCTGGTATCTCTTAAGAACAGAATACGACTGCTTACCTCAAATTCACCATTAGTTTTCACTGGATAGTGTGATCACTTGTCCTATTTATAACTAATTCCTCTGAGGGCTGAGGTTCTTTAGTTACACCAAAATTCAGTGCTTGTGGATGGCAAAATTTGAACACAGATGTGACTCTATTTGATCCACATAGCCTGTTTCCAGCAATTGTTTCTACCCTGTTTTTTAAAAAATTTGCATAATTCTGTTATATTTCTGAAAACTTTAGGAACTCTCTGTCACCTGTTCCTGTGAACTTTGAACTCTGGGGGCTTTAGGTTTGTCAAAAATTTCACTGACTCTCCAGTTGTTGCTTGAAATGCAGATGTTTTACAAAGTGCACATTCTCTTGCATATTATAAAACTTTGTAAAGAGAAATTGTCATTTCCTGGGTAGAACAGCTCCATTTAATCCGCTAACAATACAAAGCACTTCCATAGTGTACTGCAGTCAGAGTTTTCAAAGCTCTTTAAAGTACTAATGAACTAAGCTTATGGGGTAAGTAAGCTCTGTAAAGAGCACTGTGTAATTAGTTAATGCTTTTGTCAGCAACACATTTAGAAGAATAACTCTGTAGCTGTTGGTTTTACAGGAAGTTTAATTAAGCTAGTTAATAAAGCAATTACCTGAACATGACAATGACTGCACTTAACTAATTAGAAAATGAAAATAAGGATGATCTTAAATTACAAAACATACCACCTCAATGACTAATGGTACCTTCAAAGATGGCAAGGTAAGTTGGTATAATTATTATGCTTCTAATTAGGTACACTGTTGTTCCGCAAATTTTAATTAAATCATTGTAAACTAATTAAGTCCATGACTGTGTATCTTTTTGTTTGAAAACGGAAAAATCACCTCCTGTTGTCATAACATTAGGTAGCAAATTTGATTTTAAGGGATGTATAAGAGAAGTAATTTTTGAATAATCTTAAAACAGGAGGAAAAAACAATGACCAAAATAACAAGGCCTTATTAGTGAAATGTGCACAATGTCAGGGCTGCAACGTTTAATTAGGATGAGTTTGGCTTCAGACGCACAGTTAACAACAAATATTTGTTGAAGTGCCCAAGTGTTGAGGGTTTAGTACAGTGTGGTTTGGCAACACATCTGGCATAAGGCTCTCAGCATTACCGACTTTATTATCACAAATAACAGGGAATCCCAAGAGGACTGAGGGAGACCTAGAATTTGCCTAAATCCAGGTACCTTTGTAGATCACTCATCTGACTCGGACGCATCTGGCTACTTTATCTGCACAAAGTGAATAATCTCTAAAAATTGTGTTTCGGTGTTTGTTGTGTTTTGGTTTTGTTTGTTTATTGGTTTGGGTTTTGGTTTTTTTGCTGAGATTAGTGAATGATAGGCTCTGACAGAAAGTGAAATATATCCAAAGTTGTGCCTCCTGAGTTTTAACAAGTATAGGTTAAGCAAATTGGCCTAATTTGGGTATGGCAATGTTTATCTCCTTTCTATAACCTTGCCTAGCAAGGGAGGGGTATTTTTGGTTTGTTCCTCTACATTCCTTATATTGCTCAGTCCAAAATAATTTGGCTTTGCACGGGGTGGGTTCTTTGCAATTAACGTGTTTTGTCAGTTCCTAAATCCGTATATTTTTCTTTAATTCCTGAATCTGTTACTTTACATTAGTTAAGGCTTGTCAGAGTTGAATGTTTTAATTATCAAATTAAGCCCACAGAATCTGGGAGAAATTGTGCTAAAATGTCTCTATTAGGCATGTTGCTGTGAGCGGTAATTCATTCTTTTTATTTTGGTAATGTGATTTTAGAGAAAAAAACTGCTCTGAGCTCCCTTTAAAAAAACCAAACAAACAAACTACTCAATACATAGCTGCAGTAGTGAGGTATAAACACCATGCTGGGAAATGCAACGTAAGAACCTGTGCAGAATAAAACAACCTTCAGAGTTCCACTAAACAAACACCATCCCTGAGCAACGGGAAAGAGATGAAGTTTCAGGCAGCGTGAGGTTGCTTCTCTCAGTCCAACTCCTCTAAATTCTTTACAAGCCCCTTTTCCCAGGCGACTCTAAGAATGCTCGTACAGCTCTGCAAAACGACTGGCAGAGCTCATCTCTGCAGTGCCACAGAACTGCAGAATTTTGTGATTGTTGTCTTGACTTTTGCCAGTGCTCCCATGGGATAACAAATTCTAAATTTAAAATCCGAAGTAGTATGCTGTTGGGGAGCGCTTTATGTTTCTGCTGCTTGTTTTTCTGGGTCTTTTTTTTTATTCGTTTATATTGACTAGAGTTCAATTGATTGGATTCACTTGAATATATCCAATTTAAAGAAGATTCTTAGTGGGTAAACATGAAATAAATGTCTCTTGAACTCTTAGTAATTAGACATGCTGTATGTTAATGCAGCTCCATGTGTTTTAATGTCAGTTGTTACCAAATTACCCCCAAAAATGGGAGAGTGGAGAATGGTGTCAGGAGGCAAGTCATATGTGTGTAAAATACTCTTTGCCAAGGTATTGGCAAACAAAAATATTTAGGGATTTTGTTATGGCAATTTGGAGCATGCTAAAATAATTTTCATCTAGATTCATGTTTCATTCAGGTTTTTGGTTCTTTTAAAGTGGTCGGGACTGACTTTCCTCACGTAGCAAAGACCAATGCTGAAAAAGGGCAGCTCATTGTAGGGAGGGTTTGCTCCCAGTGCTTTTTTGATTTGCCCATGTATGGTGCTAATATTTTGTTTGGGAGTTTGGGGGTTTTTTGAGTGAGTTGAAATTTTATTTTTTTTTTTTATGTCACCAATTTTCTTTCCATTTGTGAGTTTCTACAGTGTTGAAGGCAATATTTTTGTTTAGGCACCCAGGTAACTACTGCCAATAGCTAGAAGACTGAATATGCAATACTCCCACTGTTGGCTGCTCAGTATTCCA